GCATTGGAGCAGGGACCTAAGTTTGGGTGTCCCATGTTCTAGGTGAGGGCCCTACCCCCAGGCTGCAAAGTCCTTCTCTCTTTCTTTGACCCAGTGACTATTCATTGCAATTCACAGTCATTTCTGATGTGCCACAGGCAGAAAACAGGAGAGACTGAGGTGTCACGAATGGCAGGGAATTGATTAGGTAAGATGTGCCCAGCTGATCCCAGCAAGTGGTCCACACCTGCAGAGGAAGGTGAACCCCCCTGCTCCCTCGCAAGGTTGCTGCCAATCTGACATGCGGAAAATTCCTTCCCAACCCAAAAAACTGGCCATCAGCGTGACCCAGAGTATGTGAGTATGACCCACCAGCCAGGTGCCTAGACAGGATTCTCTGTGCCACTTGAGAATACTGATCCACTTCTGCTCTGGGTGGGCATGCAGGGTGGGGGAGGACAGCAAAAGGTGACTTCTTAGCTCCTCTTCTGTTCTGACCTGTTCTCAGGGCTGCTCTGACTTCCTCTTGACTGCCTAGCATCCAGGGGCTGATCCAACAGCCACTAGTAGCTGGAGTGTAGCCATGCTCTAGCCACCCTCCTGCTCCTGGTCTGTGTCCTGCCCCCTGTGAGGAGCTGCACAAGGGTGGTGTCAAGTCCTTACACTGCACAGGGAATTACCAGGTGTCCAGATCTGCCAGCTCTACAGCCCGTTAGTGCTACCCGAGCAGCACAAAGGGGCTGTGACGGAGAGGACAAGACTGAACTCCGCTCTCCCCCATTGGCTTGACTGGGCTGCCTCAGGGCTGGGGCATGGAGGGAGCTTGCACCAGGGTTGAATCCCCCAAAATTCATTCACAGACACCAAATCCCCTGAACCAGCCATTCCAGAAAAGACAATTCAAAGTCCTCGTGGAGCCCTGTTAAGCCTATGGCTAGAACTCCACTGGGCACAGGGCCCCCTCCGTGTCGGCTAATTAGCCCCATACTAGACTAATTACTTCAGCTGTGTGATGCACATCACTGTTTTGCAATGGGAAATTTTCCATTTCTAACGTTTCATGCTGGGACTCCCCTGACAGAATGCTGCTGCTCCTGAGAAAATGTGAAAGGGAAACCAGAAAGAGCAAATATACACATGGCATGAAGTAGCTGAAGGAAAACACCATCCCTGAAACAACTGGAAATGCACTCATGTCCCCTGTATGGAGCAAAGTGCGGCATGGGAACTGCCTGATGGGATCAGCCCCAGGCTTCATCTAGTCCAGGATCCCATCTCCAGCAGTGCCCACATCAGATGCTGCAGAGGAAGGTGCAAAAGACCCTGAAGTGGGCAATTCTGAAATAATTTTCCTCCTAGCCCCATTAGTGAGAGTTTGGCTTGTGCGCAGATGCAGGAGGACATGTGCCTTTTCTTTAGCTGGGATGGTGAAGGCTTTACACTCTCCTCGATGGCATTTCTGTGTTTGTCTGTCTTGCGATAACGTTTGAATGCCTCATTTGATTAATTTCAGCATTCCAGGGACTGTTCCAGGCATCAGTGGGCAGAACCCCAATGATCTGGGGGAAAATTGAAAGGGGGAAAAATGGGGGACACCTTGGAGCCTCATCCATCTGCTAGCCACAGCTTCCAGCTTCTCTGAAAGTGTCTGTACATCAGGTGGATGGCACCTTTTAACACCTTTCAGCATAACAGTACCTAGTGGCGGATTTAGAGTTAGTGGGGCCCTGTGCTCTGCCTCATTTCTGGGGCCTTTCCTTGGGACCCAGCCAAGAAAAAGAACATTCTCTCTCATCTTGTGGCAGTGAGCCCTGCCCCACCCCAGTGGGGCACAGCAGATGACTGGGGGGGGGGGGGCTATGTATATGGGGAGTGCGGGGGCCCTGCCTTTGCTCCCCCTGCCCTTGCTCCTCCTGCCCCAATTCCACCCCCTTCCCCAAGGCCCCGCCCCCTCCTCTTCTCCACCGCCTCCCCTGAGCGCCCTGCGGCCCCGCTCCTTCCCCTCCCTCCCAGAGCGACCTGAGCGCCAGCAAACAGCAGTTCGGCGGTGGAGAGGGAAGTGCTGGGGACGGGAGGGGCCAGGGGGGAACATGGCATGTTCAGGGGAGGAGGGCGGAGCTTGGCTGCCAATTGGTGCAGAGCCTGCAGGAGGAGCCCCAGGAGCCGGCAGAACCAAGCTTCTGCCTGCACAGCTGACTGGCCATGGGGCCCCCTGTCATTGGGGGGTCCCTGTGCCAGGGTAGCCTGTGTTTTACTGTAAATCTGCCTCCAACAATACGCCATCTCAGCAACTGCTCATCCACCCCGTAGAGTTTTAACAAGTTAACACCCTGGGGGACCCTGGTGTGGGGGAAGTGGGGCACACAGAGCTCCTAGCATGAGGGGCAGGAGGAAATGGGGGGAAGAAGGTGAACACAGGGCCCCTGGCCTGGGGCAGAGAATGGGAGATGTTAGCATAGGAGGGGAATGGGACCCCTGGTGGGGAGAGGGGATAATGGAGGACCCTGGTGGGGCAGAACAGGAAGTGGGACTGTCACAGGGTCCACACAGGTTCCCACCCTCTCATCCCCATGCTCAGGCTGGTCAAAAAAAGGGTCCCAATGCCTCTTTCAGGTGTTTCTCCAGTGTCTTTTTATTTACAGTGCTTTGTGCAGCCCCAATTCCCCCAACACTGGTCCCCACACTGACCCTTCCTTGGGTCTTCTAGCCTCTGAGGCTTCCCGCAGTCAGTGGAGACAGCACTTCAACCCCCTTAGCCTCTCCCCGGCTAGCTGTTCCCTGGGCTTATATCTCCTCCCAGTCACCAGCCCAGCTGGCTCCACTTGGATCAGCTGATTCCCCGAGCTTGCCCTTGTTAGAGCCTGCAGCTGAGCTCTTTGCTGAGCGTCTGGGCCCCTGCATCTAGCCACTCTGCCGGGAAGCACGGGAGAAGCCACCCCTTTAGCAGGGCACCCAAGAGGTTTATACCTCTGCCCTGCCACCGGGACAAAGAAGGGAATGGGGGCACACACAGAGGCTGTACCATATGGACAAGAATGGGGTACCTGGTATGAGAGGAGGGGAGGATAGAGGCACTCACCCCTTGGCAAGGGTGAGTTGCAGGGGGGAGTTTCTACTCCCTGCCCTTGAAATAGAGGGGGATGGGATGGTGGCATCCAGGGAGCTGCCAGGGGGAAATGGGAGGTTGCAAGGAGCCCCTGGTGTGTGCCGTGAGCTTGTGTGATGGTTCTTGAGGTACCTAGGGCTGAGTCACCTTGTTACCTCCCCCTGCTGCCCCACCCTGGTCCCAGTGAGAGGCAGACTTGCTTGTGCTGACCTGGATGTCAGCTCCCTGACACCACCAGCCTGTCAGCCACCAAACAACCTCCTCCGGGCTACGCTGGCCCCCGTTTGCAGTGCAGGTTAACAGTACGGGGCCCCCAGTCCCTGTTCCCCTGTAGTGTCCAGCCCCTTCTCTGCTGAGCACTCCCGAAACACCAGCTCTGCTGTCCCCAAACAGGACAGTCACAAACCAGCCTCTTTGATCCAGCACAGGAGCAGCTCCTGGTGTCGGACCACAGCACTGAGATAACCGTGTGATCGTTTTCACGCTTACTTGTCTCTCAAAGGGGGAGATGTGAGCGCTTGTGAGTGTACCAGGCTAGGCCTGTTCATCTCGCCCGTGTCCTTGCAGTCAAGCCTGGCTGAGTGAGACCCCATTGTCATGAGTGTCACTGGGCTGCCCGATGACTTGCTTGGTGCAGGACGAAGGGGGCCCTCCCTTGCCTTTTCTTGACAGTCCCCAAAGTTCAGTGTTTGTGCCTCAGGGAGGCAGGATGACCCCGTAGTCTGGTGTGCTGCCTTCATGCTGACTTCACCCCCTGCCCCCCCACCCAGTAACTTTGCATTTAAATGATGCCACATTGTGTTAACTCACAATCTTAATTTACACGTGGGCTGACAGAGACAGGTGAATAAACATCCTCTGTCTGGCAGAAACCTGATTGTCAACTCTGCCTCAATACAGACTTTATGACCATAATATTAGCATACACACATAACTCCTGCCATAGTATCTGAACATGCATTTCACAAAGATGCTAATGCCCAGGGTGACCCTGGCTTTAAGACCTCATGTGCCCCGGATTGTACATACCAGAATGAGGATATTCTTGTAACCCCCTTGCCAGCTGGCCCTGAGAGGCTCTTAGGGTCACAGCTTGGCCCGCACAAAGCGTGAAGTGTATGACCGTCTCGTGTAAATCACCCCCTAGCCAATGTAAGTGCAGAAAATGGGATTATCCCTGTCAATGACCAACCTGGTCCTGAATGCTGCTAAACTCTTGGCTTCAGTGTCCTCTGTGGCAGTGAGTTCCGCAGGCTGCTTTGTGTTTTGATCAAGAGGATTTCCTTTTGCTGGGTGTAAGTTTTGTGCCTTCCCACTTCACCCAGCAACCTCTTGTCTTTATGAGGGTGGGTGCAATTCACCTCCTCTAATCCCCGCCCCCCAGTCATTTGCTGTCTTATTTGCCCCCTCTCTAAACCAAACAGGCCCCATCTTCCCAGCCTCTCTTCCCATGGAAGAGCTTTCCCAGCCTCTAGCCCTGTCCATGGCCCCCTGGCTGAACAAAAGCCGGGGGATGTCCTGCCCTTTTTGGGGGGGAGAGGGGTCTTCTGGCATCTTACCCTTTTTTTTTTTTTCCAGAGCAGCCCTAAGCCTGTCTGGAAGGGGACCAGTGTCTTCCTGAGCTCATTCAAATACCCCACAGAGCCTCTCCTGGAGAGCTGAGGCCAGGGTGTGGGGGAAAGCTGGGGGGGGGGGGGAAGAGGCTCATCTGAGTTGTTCTCTCTTGTAGGCTATGTCTACACTGCAGACAGAGGGGTGCGCTCAGCTCCCTTAAGTCAGCGGTGGAGACGGGTTAACAGCTGGGCTTCTGCAGACCAGCTCTGTGGCGGAGCTCAGCTCCCCCTAGCAAACAGGCTGAGGCCTCCGCACTCACTCCATGTGCGGGCTGGCCCCAGCTCTCCAGCGAGGCGCAAGCAGCGCAACTGCCCCAGACCCCTGCCCTGCCTGCGCGGTCCCGATCCGAGGAGGAGGGGGAAAGCGTGTGTGTCTGCAGCCCCTGCACCAGCCGCCCCCGGCTCTGCACCATTCGCTGGGCCCACCTTGATTAAAGTGGCAGCCCCCCTCCCTTTCCTCTCGGAATCCGGATACACCGTGAAGCCAGGGAGGGGCCGGGGGATCCCGGAGCAGCCAGCGCTGTCCAGGCAGCGGAATCGCCTGGGTAATAATGCAGCAGGTTCGGGTTTAAACGAGCTTTTCTTGCCCCCCTCCTCCGGGCCAGGGTCCATCTACAGAGGAGCCCCGGGGCACCGGCAGGCGCTGGTACCTTGGCACCCACCGGATGCCATTTTAGCTTCCTCTCCAAACGCCAGGCGCCTGCAGTCCCTGGCGGAGCGGCGATTGGCAGGGCAGGCTCAGCCGGAGCTCGCCTTCGCGGGGCCGGGGATGTCCTGCCCGGCCAGCCCCCGCGGCGGTGCAAGAGGCTGCGTCTCCGCCGGTGCCCTGGCGGGGGGAGGCGCTCCCAGCTGCCCGGATTGGGGCGGGGAGCCCCCGGCCGGGAGCGCTGGCAGCGGGGGTGGGCTCGCCCCGGCGCTCCGGAGAGAGGCCATATCTGGCAAGCGGGGAGGGACCGGCGGCGCCTGGCTGAGCCAGGCTGCTCCGCTGCGCGCACGTTCCGGGCGCTGCCTCTCCGGCTCGCCGGCCCCTGCGCAGGCACCGGGCGGTGGGGCTGAGCGCAGGACGTGCTCACCGACTCGGGTAACTGGCGGCAGGGAGCAGGGGCCAGCGGCTCCGGGCGCGGGGGGAGCCGGGGCGGTGGGGTGGCAGCTGCCCGCCGGCTCTCACGCTCTCTCTCCCCCGCGCTGCAGGGGGAGCAGAAGATGGACGCCCCGCGGAGCCCCCCGCAGCTGGACCGGGACCTGCTGGAGTCTCCCGAGGGCTGCCCGTCCCCTCTGGAGCTCAAGTCTGGCCCCAGCAAGAAGATGTGGGTGAAGCTGCGGGCACTGTGAGTAATCCCGGCCTAGCAGAGCAGGGACCCCTGCCCCGCTCTGCGTCCTGCACCCCGGGGACCCCTTCTCTCTCCCTGGGGCCCTGCTCCCCACTGTCCCCAGGGACGTCTTCCTGCTTCCCAGGGGCTCCTGCATCCCCTTCCCCACTGGGTGTCCCACGCACCCATCCCCCTTTTGCCCTCTGCATCCTCCCTTCTCTTACTCCTTCCCTGGACCCCCCTGCGCCCCAGGGACTCCTACCCCATTTCCCTTTCCCCTTTGGGGTTTCCTGTTCCCGCTCTCCCCCCTGCCTCCCATGCACCTAGCCTCCCTCCCTCCACCCTGGGCATCCGGTCCCCCCTGGTGCTGACACTACATTTATATTGGGGGTGGTTTTTAGGGGGGAAGATTTGTCTCCTTCCCTAGTTTAAGGACACCTGTAAACAAGGGGCTGTATGGTGTGTGTGTGGGGGGGGGGGGGACTGTGATAAACTCAGCTCGGTGGGGGAGGGGGTATGGCTAGGGCACAGCAGCCTGCTCACTGACAGAATTTGCCACTATGCCACTGCTTGATTTATTGCAGAGCCACGTGCTTTGCCCAGTCATCTGACGCGAGGCCCTAGAATCGGAGGCTAATTATTATGTAGCTCCTGTGCAATTAATAGCCTCGCTGAACATTCCTGTGCGAGCCTGGAGAGCCGGGCTTAAAGGGTTTGGAGCAGGCTGCTAAGCCCAGCTTTGCATGGGAGCAGCTCTGTGTGTTTGAAGCTCAGGTATGAGGGATTATTGTCTTTAAACCGCTGAGCAAATAGCGCATCTTTGCCTTATGCCGCAAGCATTCTGCGCTGAGCACGGGAAGCCTGCTCCTTAATGAGCACCTGGCTGAGGGAGGCTAACACCTGTCAGAACTTCAGAAGAGAGGCAGTGTGTTATCTGTCCTCAGCCCAGCTGCACACCTGAGAGGATACACACCCATTCTTTCTGCATGGGCTGAGCTCTTGGGTTTTTCCATATTTAAATCCATGAAAAAGAATAAAATTCAGGGTAAAAAAGACGTGCTTGTGAAAGGGCCAGAAACCGGTAAGATTAGAAAAGTACAGCGCAAAGCAGGTCCCTAAGGTGCCACAAGTACTCCTTTTCTTAGAGCAAAGCAGGAATTTCCTGTGGAGGGTGTTATCCTGCTCCCATAGGAGACCAGGGGAGAGTGTCAATAGGCAGAAAAACTCTGAAATATCGGTGGGTGCAGAATGTATTGGTAGGTGTGAGATGAAGGCACTGAGCCTGAAGTGCGGTGTTCGTTGACCTTGCTCTGGAGTGATTAGCTGCATCCCACAAGTCCTCGTTAGACATCCTGTTTACACTACAGAGGAGCAAATGTAATAGTTGCTCTTTGTTATGCCATCTCTGAAATCGTAGAATCCTAGACATGTAGGGCTGGAAGGGACCCAGAGAGGTTGTCTCGCCCATCCCTGCACTGAGTGTCATGGGATGGAGCGGGAGCTGTTTCAAGTGGCGATGTGGTCGGAGTTTCTTTTAAGCCTCTTTCTATTTGATGGCTCAGGGCTCACCACCTGAAAGGATTTGTGCTGGAAATGGCCCACCTTGATTAACATACACACTGTAAGGAGAGTGATCACTTTAGATAAGCTATTACCAGCAGGAGAGTGGGGTGGGGGGAGAGAAAACCTTTTGTAGTGGTAAACACCCATTTTTTCATGGTTTGTGTGTATAAAAAGATCTTCTGTACTTTCCACAGTATGCATCCGATGAAGTGAGCTGTAGCTCACGAAAGCTTATGCTCAAATAAATTGGTTAGTCTCTAAGGTGCCACAAGTCCTCCTTTTCTATCTCCATAGCTGTGGAGGGAGCTAGTGAAATTGTGGGAAGAGTGGAGTTTCTGTGGCTCTCTTCACAGGCTGGCAGAAGTGCAGGGTTCAGGCTGGTGTGGGTCTTGGTTTGGATTGTATGTTACTAGTGAGTGTCTGGGGTAGCAATGAGGGCTGCACAGAAGCTGGTCACGAATCCTGGATTTTTAGCCCCAACAATTTCTGGTCTGAAGACAGGTCCCAGAAAGGGCCGATTTTGTCTGTTCTTTAGGTTTAGAAAGATTGTTGTCCAATTGGGGGGGTAGTGAGGGAGAGAAACGATACCATGTGGGAATAAATTGTAGCCTGATAATTATTTATCTGCGTGTTTGGTGGCTATTTCCAGATAACTCGCACGTGCCTGGGAAATCAGAAGAGGGACCTGAATTATCAAGCAAGGGGCCAGACCCTGGTGTGAGATCAGTGTGGGCCCGGTCCTTACACCCTCCCATATGGAGTTCAGTTAGACTCTGCACAGGTGCATGGGTAGGTCGGAGTAGCGGGTCTGGGCCAGTAATTGTAACAATTCTGACTTGTGATGGGTAGATCTGGTTAAAAAATTTGGGAGATCTTTATTGGGGTACAGCTGCTGCAGAACTCCTGTAGCAAGTCCCTTAGTCTCGTTCAGTGACAGTAATTAAACCTGCCTGCTCTGTGGCTGATTGCTACTCACCACAAGGTCTTAAACTAGTTTTACTGTTGGAATTTCACTGTCCCAAGAGCCCCATACGTTTCCGAATGAACAACTTGCCAGACGGAGTTTTCATTTCCTTTGGCACACGTCACCTTCATGCGAAAAAGGCAGCCTCCAAGCCCGGAGAGGGTATCAGTAATTATACCACCCATCCATAACCCTCTGAGGGGCTGTGGTGTTCTCACTGTTAATCGGGGACGAAGTTACCATTGGGATTGGAGAGGCCGTACGGACAGTCTCCTGGAAACACATCTCCTAGTCCTGGGGTAGTCAACAGGCGGACTGCGGGCAAAGCCAGACCACCAGACGCTTTTGACTGGACTCAAAATCTTTTTATTTACTTATTATTATTATTTATTATTATCATCATTATTTTTTACTATTATTATCTTCTCTGGAGCCTGGATCTTGACTATACCTTGACCAAGACATTTGGACCTTGACAAAAAATAATTGACTACCCCTGTAGTCAGTTTCACTCCAGTCACTTCCTGTCTCCTGCTGGAGATCCCTTTTAGAGGAATATTTTGGATCTTTACCCATGGTTAGGCTCCTCCATTAGTGATACAGCGTCTCACAGAGCCGTGCTGGGGCTGTGGGGAGTTTTTTTCTGTTCAGTGGCCAGCCCCAAGCTCAGTGCACCTTGGCCACCCCTCAAATGCCAGGGCTAGGGCAGGGATGTGGCCCTTTCTCTGCTCCAGCAGCCCAGCTGGGCCACTGGGGGAGCACTGAGCTGAGTTTCTCCACTGGCACATGCTCCCCCAGAGCTGAGCCACAGTCGTCCACTTAATCCGTCCCCATCTCCTGCAATGCAACCAGTTCTCAAAGCCAGCCTGGGCATTTTCACGTGTGTGTGTTTAACCAGGGTGTGAAAAATTCCCTATATATCTGCTAGTCAGGAACTTAAATTGACTAGCCAGAGGCTGTGAAAAATTCCCTCCTGCTCCTGTATATCCAGGGTGCAAAGGCTGGTGAGAAACTAAGTGGGCCTACAATACTGCCTCACGGCTGTGTGTGTGTGTGTGTGTGTCGCGTACGTGTGTGTGTGCACTGCTGTTTCACTGGGCTGTCAGGACTCCTGGTCAGTAGGTTCCATGTTTGAAGGTTCATAGAATCATAGAATATCAGGGTTGGAAGGGACCTCAGGAGGTCATCTAGTCCAACCCCCTGCTCAAAGCAGGACCAATCCCCAACTAAATCATCCCAGCCAGAGCTCTGTCAAGCCTGACCTTAAAAACCTCTAAGGAAGGAGATTCTACCACCTCCCTAGGTAACGCATTCCAGTGTTTCACCACCCTCCTAGTGAAAAAGTTTTTCCTAATATCCAACCTAAACCTCCCCCACTGCAACTTGAGACCATTACTCCTTGTCCTGTCCTCTTCTACCACTGAGAATAGTCTAGAACCATCCTCTCTGGAACCACCTCTCAGGTAGTTGAAAGCAGCTATCAAATCCCCCCTCATTCTTCTCTTCTGCAGACTAAACAATCCCAGTTCCCTCAGCCTCTCCTCATAAGTCATGTGTTCCAGACCCCTAATCATTTTTGTTGCCCTTCGCTGGACTCTCTCCAATTTATCCACATCCTTCTTGTAGTGCGGGGCCAAAAACTGGACACAGTACTCCAGATGAGGCCTCACCAATGTCGAATAGAGGGGAACGATCATGTCCCTCGATCTGCTGGCTATGCCCCTACTTATACATCCCAAAATGCCATTGGCCTTCTTGGCAACAAGGGCACACTGTTGACTCGTATCCAGCTTCTCGTCCACTGTCACCCCTGGTCTTTTTCCGCAGAACTGCTGCCGAGCCATTCGGTCCCTAGTCTGTAGCTGTGCATTGGGTTCTTCCGTCCTAAGTGCAGGACTCTGCACTTATCCTTGTTGAACCTCATCAGATTTCTTTTGGCCCAATCCTCCAATTTGTCTAGGTCCCTCTGTATCCTATCCCTGCCCTCCAGCGTATCTACCACTCCTCCCAGTTTAGTATCATCCGCAAATTTGCTGAGAGTGCAATCCACACCATCCTCCAGATCATTTATGAAGATATTGAACAAAACCGGCCCCAGGACCGACCCTTGGGGCACTCCACTTGATACCGGCTGCCAACTAGACATGGAGCCATTGATCACTACCCGTTGAGCCCAACAATCTAGCCAACTTTCTACCCACCTTATAGTGCATTCATCCAGCCCATACTTCTTTAACTTGCTGACAAGTATACTGTGGGAGACCGTGTCAAAAGCTATGCTAAAGTCAAGAAACAATACGTCCACTGCTTTCCCTTCATCCACAGAACCAGCAATCTCATCATAGAAGGCAATTAGATTAGTCAGGCATGACCTTCCCTTGGTGAATCCATGCTGGCTGTTCCTGATCACTTTCCTGTCGTGTAAGTGTTTCAGGATTGATTACCTGAGGACCTGCTCCATGATTCAGGTTCATGGGATGCTTCCTTTGGA